AACTGTGTTCATTTCAAAAGATAATGGATATAGGATGCCAGCTAGTGGTCTTCAGAAAAACATTCGAGCTGAAAATACATATACAGTCGAAAGTCTTTAATCCGGACTCGTTGGGACTTTCGTGATTCCGGATTATCGGTTTTTCCGTATTATAGATCATCAGTTTAAATCTGGTAAGATGGCATGCAGAAATTATAAAAATAAAAATATGAAACTGTAATTTATGAAAGAGCAATTATGATCTAAAGGATATCAAAATTTACAAAAAAAAAAAAAAAAAAAAAGGTTTATATTTATTTGTTTACTATATTAAACATTTCTTTCAATGCGCGTATGTGTAAAGCATACATTACGCGTAGTCAAAATTAGAAAATTGCAACCAGAAAACTATTTGATGTGTATTCGTGATATTTATAATATCTGTGTCACTTTCTTCACTATCGGAAGCGAATTATAATGATGAGGAATTTGATTTAAATCATGTCAAAGACGGAGTACATCGAGATGAAATACTACATTTAGTAAGGAATTACAAGCAGAATAAAATAAAAACATCTGCCCTGACAATAAGAATAGTGCTGACAGATCAACTTCCAGTTCATTGCATGCCGCGTCATCCCCCCCTCCCCGCAGAGCAGCGTGAAATTGATAAACATATTTCGGAATGATTAGAGAATCAAAGGATATGCCTTTATCCATTTTTTGCAGCAATTCCACTTTTTGTTTTGTATGGACATCGAAACATGCTTTCACTTTGTAGATCCAGAATCAGAAATTCTTTTTGGCATAATCGAAAGTTCAGGCTTACTTTTATAAAATTGCTCTAACAGTATGCAAAAAATAATAAGTCGGATCTAATTAGAAGATTAAGGAGCAACGCAATCTGCAACATTAACTGAAATAGATAATTAGGTAATTTTAGCTTAGCTTATACTGTCCGTTATACATTAAATACACATGCATTAACGCAATGTGCGTTGACGCATGCGCAGAAAGTTTGTAGCTTTGAGGTCCAGATTATAGATCATTCTGGATTATGGATGTCCGGATTAAAGACTTTTGACTGTACGCATCACCCGTCCTCTGAATGCAATCTCTAGTGATGTGTGGATGGGATGCCCGGCTCTAAGAGACATTTTTAGGGAATGCGTATATGTGATGACCATCCTGAAAGGGTTAATAATGAATGCAACTTCATTAAAATGATAAATAAGAGAGTCATATATCTGCTGTGAATTCTCCAAAAGTCAGTGCAACAATACCCATTAAAAAGTTTCTTTCACTCCTTCTTCAGCATTTTCCAGTTCTAGGACTGTTTTCTGTACTTTAAAGTAGGAACCCGAAAGTTATTTTCTGCTGCTCGATTTGACTCAACAATGTAAATAACAGCTGTGAAAAATGGTTGAGTCACTAGGTTTGTTTTCTCTAGTTAATTCCTGTTTAGTATATTTCACCTCATGAAATGCACATCTATGAAGGCTGATTTGAACTGCAATCTCAAATGATGTGCAGAAAATAAAATGCTGTATTGACGATACAAATCATAGATGCAAGGTGGGGGGGCTGGCAATGACCTTGAAGCACCTGTGTTTGAAGTAACAGACTATAGTAGTACAGCTTTTATTTAAAAAACTGCTATCTTTTTTTCAGGTACTTATTCAAATTTCAGTTTTCATTTAAATTCAGATATTTAATATTATGAAAAGTGTCGCCCAGACAGGTATAGTAGTTAGGGGAGCTGACTGTGATACCAAAATCCCCGAGTTCGAATTCTGGAGAAGGCATGGTTGTAACTAGCCTTCCCTTTCCTAGGAGGCGAAGGTGGCACACCTATTATTATGTGCTTGCATAATAAAGCGACCACCGCTTCTGGTCTTAGTAGTGGCTAAAGTCTGTGATGACTTCTGCCCACCACTGGGGGGGGGGGAATTATAAAAAGTGCTAACTGAATCTGTTCAAAACCATTCTCATGAATGTTCTCCAGTCCTTGAACTATATTCTGTGTAGTATTATGATGTCATATTTAAGTTGCATTTTTAATAATGCTGAATAGGAGTAGTAAAAGCAGAAAATTATGATAAAAATTAGTTGACATTCCATGTCAAACCATGTCACATAATTTTTCAATTATGGCTTCTCCCTTAAAAAACAAAAAAAAAAAAAAAAAAAAAAAAGTAAACAAGGGCATTAGCAATAATATTAAGTTTCGAATCTGAATCAGTACTGCATTTGCAACAGCATTCAAGAAAAATAATGAAACACATATTGTCCAAATCCAGCATTGAGTGACTTAAAGGGAAATCTATCTCTCTCAGAGGGAACATTCATTATATGCAGATTCATGGGCATGTATATGTATAATTTAACATCCTTCCTTTTTCTTTATTTTGAATTACAAGAACATACAGATGGTTATTTAAAATCAATATTTCCATTTAATGATTTTTATCTTATTTTTACTCTCTCTGGTTGTAACGGAAGTTTTCCACCAAAAAACATTCTTAAAAAAGTTAGAGGGGGGACATGAAAGCAGTACCTTTAGTGCGGGTAGTAATCACCACCCAAATCTATGATTTTCTGCCAAAGTGTTGGTAGTTTTTCAAAGCCTTTGGTCTAGAAACTTAGTGGTCACAAGTTCGAAAACATAACAATTTCATTTTGGACGTCTTGTGCAGAATGGAAGATAGCACCAGCAAGATGTAGCTACAAGTGTGAAAAAAGGTAAAAGTCCAAAGGAGTGATATCATGGCTATATGGTGAATATGGGAAAAGATCCCATTCAAGTCTATACTGAGTCCAGCTGGTGAATGCAGAGATGTTTGGTCTTGCATTATCTTGATGGAACATTACCTTTTTGCACTAGTACTTAGTTTGACATTTTCCCTTGATAGCAACATCAGCATGGACTAACATCTAGCTGTACACCTTATTGTTAAGGGTTTATCTTTTTCCAGATACTCTTTGTGGATAATACCACTGCAATCCCACCAGATATAAAGCATTATCTTTTTGTTAGTCAAATTGCACTTTGTGATGCTGCCGGCGGACTTACCGGGCACACAGCAACCCTGTTTTCAGCCCGCATGGTTGAAGTAAAATCCACTTCCCATCACAAGTGATGATCAGATCCAGAATTTTGTCCTTACATTGATATTTGAGCAAATTAGTGCAGGCCCAAACACGTCTGTCCTTTTCAGCTTGAGGCAGCTCATGCGGCACCAAGCTATTGAACTTGTACGTCAAGTTTATGTGATGCATAGCACAGCTAATGGACCTGGTGCTAACGTCTAACTCCTTAGCAAGCTATCGAGTTGTCTTCCACAAATGGATCTCATCAACATCAGTAGGCTGGCCAGAGTGCTCTGCTTCTTGACTGTCATAGTTCTTGTTTTTGAACTTCTGGTACCAAACCTTCACAGTATCATATGATACAATATTAATTCCTTAAGCTGTCCATATAATTTAGTGACATTCTGAAGCTGACTTTTTGCAACAGAACTGGAACTAAATGATGGTTCTAATCTGATAGCATGATAGTTCAACTTCAGACACCTTGTACTTAATGATAACGATACTTTTTTACAAATTTCACAATACAGTGTTCTAAAGAAAGTCTCTTTCTTTCAGATGTCAAAAATCATTCGACAAAATATGATTAAACAAATCAACAGGAACTGTTTGCGCATACGTTACTTGCGGTGGTGGGAAACTTTTATTAAAACCCAATATGTAATTGGTGTAATATACAGTACAAAGTCCGTAATTCGGACGTCCATTATCTGGAATGATCTATAATCCGGACCTCAGAACCACACTTTTTTTTTTGTATGCTTTACGCATGCGCATGCATGTTGGGAGGATGTATCTCCAGATACGTTAAAAAATGCTTGGCATAATTTATGGCTGGCTACCGTATTTCGTGGTGAGGATGATGAAGATGATAGCTGTGAATTTGAAGATTTTCATACATCCCAAACAAAAGGTGAAATTTTCCAGTTATTGGATTTTGTAAAGAAATGTGGAGAAGTGGTAATAAATGAAGATGATATAACAGAAGTTTTTCATTACGACGACAATGCCCCCAGTCATCAATCAATTAACAGACGGCGAAATCTGTAGTATGGTTCTAGATCCAGAAAATGTCACTTTTGATAGTGAAGAAAATGACAGAGAGGTTATTGAAAGCGAAAAAATTTCGATTGACAAGTTAGTCGGTATTCTCGACATAGCAATTACAGGACTTGTGAACAGTGGAACTTTGTAACTGAACAAGAAATCATGTCTGTTTATAGAATTAAAGAGAAAGTATTAGCACTAAAAACGAGCAACTTAAACAACTTACATTGAAAGAAATGTTTAATAAAGTAAACAAATAAATATTAAGCTTTTTTTTCTTGTAAATTGATACCCTTTAGATCATAATTGCTCTTTATTTCATAAATTACAGTTTCATATTTTTAATTGTATAATTTCTGCCTGTGATCTTACCAGATTTAAATTGATGATCTATAATCTGGAAAAACTCTAATGGGGAATTGCCGAAGTCCCGACAAGTCCGGATTACTGACTTTGTACTGTATATAATTGGTTTACTATATATAATTGGTTTAATATATGAATTTATGTAATTTATAATATTAATTGATATTTTTGTAGCAACATTTATGCAGTTAGTACAATTGCTGAAAGATCTGTCGAAGACCATTTATAATGGTCATGGATCTACTATGGCTGCAGTATCATTTTTAGTCTACCATGTGGGAATTTAGCAACATTTTTTATAACCTAAAATTATTTATTAAAATAAATATGTTATTTATTTAAATGAGTAAATTGTATAATAAAAATTTACATAACAATATGATGCATAAGGAGGTAAGATATATAATAAAAATTGGAAAATGTTTTGCTTTTTTTTTTGCTTGTTTGTTCTTTATTCATATTTAAGCTATGATTCCATCCTTTTTTTTTTTTTTTTTTTTTTCTTATTCCTTCTGCAGAGGAAGAAATTTTAGATGTGTTAGACAGTGCTGAAAATGATTCCTTGCTTAAAAGAGATACAGTGTTTGCTCAGTTGAATTTCTCTTTAACTCAAGGAACATTTACCCTTTTCAAGAATGAGTTTCAGGTAATCACAAAACCTGGGCAGCAGCCATCCACAGAAGAAAAACCTATTATTGAAGTGGAATTTTCTGATGTGTCAACAAAACTTGAAACTCGCCCCAGAACAGGCTCATTTCTATTTGAAATCAAGCTTGGAGCACTGTATTTACATGATAGAATTTTTGCTGATACACATTTTCCTTACATTATAGCACCTCAAAATAGAGTAAGTTATTGCATATCTTTCTATGTTTAAAACTTCAAGAACAACAATAGTTTGAATTCAGTAGAACTTAAGTTACGCAGACACCAAATATCCGTATTTTTTTTTTTTCCGATCCAAACCATTTGTTTTTCTGTATAGGCTGAGTAATAAGATTAAGCTTATTTACATTGGTGTCAAAAATTATCTTTATGGGCATGCAGGCAGTAATTTTCAGAAACTGTTAAATAAAGTTAAATGTATTTTTTCACATCAATTTCATTTCTCCTTTTTTCCACTAATTTTAACAGTTGAAAATTTAGATGGAAAAATTTCACGTATAATATTTTGAGAGAAGGGTGAAAGAAAAATGCCTATTGTTTAAAGGTATAGGAAGTGGAATAAATATTACCATTAGTTATTGTCATCAATGCTGTTTATTCTCTTGCTTTTTGTACTATGCATTATCAATCTTTCCTTACACTGCAGATTGAAGCAAAATTCTTGTTAAGTTTCATAATTTCAACCGAGAGTTTCTTACCATAGATTACTAGTAAAAGTCTGTAATAATAAATTTAAAAAGGAGTTAAGGTAAGAAATAATCACTCTATTAGTGTTTATAGTGTCTTTGCTAATATATGGTTCATAGTATCTGGTCTGACACTTGACTGTTGCAGCAACTACATAATGCTTTTTGAATGAGGGGTGATGTCTTTATTAATACAGAACATCTAATTCAAAATACTCTTTGTTAATGCAGATTGTATCTCTGAGGAATGCTAGTTTTAAGTTCTTTTTCAACGTATGTTGTGTCCTTAATTACTGGTCCTTACATATAAGGAAAGAAAGTGATTTTTTTTAGTTGTTTTTTTGTAAAGCATATGTAAAGAATACCAATTGGAGAAATTTCAAGAGCTGCTTATTTGTATGGAGTTCAATTTCTAAATTCAGGGTTCAAGTTAAATTATGCAAATAATAATAATAATAATAATAATAATATAATAATCTAAGTCATACTCTAAATAGGCAAAAGACAAGTAAATGCATCATTATTTGAGGTGATATATAGCATCTTCAAGCATAAATGTAACTACAAAATTTAACATGAGGGTTCATATGAGAAATTTCAAGAGCTGCTTATTTGTATGGAGTTCAATTTCTAAATTCAGGGTTCAAGTTAAATTATGCAAATAATAATAATAATAATAATAATAATAATAATAATAATAATATAATAATCTAAGTCATACTCTAAATAGGCAAAGACAAGTAAATGCATCATTATTTGAGGTGATATATAGCATCTTCAAGCATAAATGTAACTACAAAATTTAACATGAGGGTTCATATGACATGTAAATCTATTATAAAACAAAGTTGGAAATTATATGTGATACTACAATTTTAGAAAGAATGCTTCAAAAACAAATAAATCTGGAGAATGGGGCCTTTCCCTAATAAATACTAATATTTATATACTAATATTTTATATATATGTGATATGAAAAAAAAGGATAATACAATGAAAGCAAGACTGTACGTGCAAAAATGTAATCATATGAATTATATGATTAAATTAGTTATTTATTATTTTTGTTTTACATCAGTTAAAGATGCCATACTTTAATTTTAATTGAAAAAAGTACATCATATGATTTGGTTTATCCACTAAAATGATTTCTTTAATTTTAAAGTATTAAAAAAAGATGGGTTAAGTTTTTGGACTAAATTATTGATTTTATATTAATCAATCTGTCCCATAAATGTTGTGATGATGTCTTACTAAGAACACAAGTTAGAAGAGTGTGTATATTTGAATTTAAAGAGCTGTTAAATTGAAAACTTTGAAAACAGTGTTTTTTACTATACTGTATTTTTCATAACAGATGAAAACTGATTAAATTCATTTAAATTGTTTGTGTTAATAGTGTGTTTTAAAAATGTTTTTGGATTTCTTTATTAAAATTAACTATTTTGTTAAATATTAAAATTCCCAAGAATGTTAGAAATGAGCTGTCAATTATATAAATTTAAAATTAAAAAAAAAAAAAAAAGTTGAAATTAGAACTAAAGTGAAATTTTTTAGACATTATTTAATTTTAAAATGAGTTATTGAGCAAATTTAATGACAAATTGAGGTTATTAGTACAAAATAATAAGTTGTATCAGTTTTAAGATCTTTTTTTATGTAAAAATTAAAATTACTATTTGGCAAAAAAAATTAAGAAATATTTTTAATTGTAATTTGTTATCTTTAACTCAAAAACTTGACAAGATGTAATGAAGATTTAAAAAAAAGTTAAAATAACTCAGTAGTTTCCTTGTGATGTAAAAATTAAGAGTTAAAAATAGCAACACCAAGGTATAAGGAATAAGGACAACTTTATTATTTCCTAATTGATAATTTGGTACTCTTCTGTTCTCAGCACCACATTCAGAAATGCATGTATGTATAGATGTATGTACCAATAATTCCTTTAACAAGGAAATATTTCATGAAATTATTGTAATATGTGTTTCATAAAAAAAGAAAAGCTCTGCAAAAAGTAAGGGAGTAGATTAAAGATTATGAAAAATGTCCGATGATTACACCTAAAAACATAAAAGATCATGTAATATAATTAAGTTTCTTATTTCTTATTATTTTTTTAAAGGATGTGAGTTTTTTGTATACAAAATCAACTGGACTAACTGTTTTTCCTTTGCCATCATTTCTAAGTCCAAAAGTAGAAGAAGCTGATTCAAATTCACATTTATTTGAGCTGACGTATGAAAAGAAACCATTTGCATTTCATGCTGATCACAGGTAGTGTTTATTTAAAAAAAATGTTTTGAAAGTAGTTTGCTTGTATTTATATTTTTCATTTTTGCTGATTATTTCCTGCATTATTTTAGTTGTAAGTTATTTTTGTATTACCCTTCTAATTTTTTTTAACATCTTGAATTATACCTGATAAGATTTAAGTTTAATATAATTATTGTATTTAATATTATTATTATTTTACTTAAATATAATCACTTCAAGATCATGCATTAATATAAATTTTATAAAAATTCACATAAAGAAGTATATAAAATTATATGTTAAATTTTTAATATTACTTTATAAATGCAGCATATTGTTACAGTCATTGAAGCTGATAGATTGCCTTGATATTAAATTCATTCACAAAAGTTTCTGGTTCTGTAAATTAAAATTACAAATAATTGTTAACTATGTAAGTGGTTATGTACATTTTGTACCTGTTAAAATGATTTGCATAGAATTCAGGAATTGTATGTGCATAATTAATAAATCAGAATTTTTTTAAATCATTAAACTGCTATGTTTTGGTCTGTTTGTTAAGGAAATCATAAATTTCTATTATACACATTTAGATTATCCAAGAGTAAATTGTTTGAATGGTTCCATTTAAAAAAATTTGGTTTTACTAATCACATCTGCTAAATCAAATAACAGTTAATTTAATTTTTCATTTTTCTTTTTTTGTTATTTATATCAGTTTATTTTATGTGTGCAGAAGTTTTACCTATTTTGAAATGCAAACTGCATTTAGATGAATATCGAAATTATGAAGTTCAAAAGATCCAAAAAAAATTTGTGATATTGGACACTTGATTTTATATAGATGCATGTGTTTTACTGTGTACCTTATTCAGGTTTGAATGTATAACTTATGTGAAAAGGGGTAGTTTTATGTAGTTTTTTTCTGGTATGTTTCCATATAGGAGTAACCCCAACCTAGTTCATATGAACTCTTTCGCTAATGAATGCATGTATACTTCATATACTAATTCTAATGTCTAGAATTCAATAGTTATCATATAATAATTTGAACTTCCTAATAAAATAGTAAATGCCTTTAATTTGTTTCTTTTTCTTAACAAAATCTGTAAGGTAACAGAAAGGTTCTGAAATTAATTTTTTTGTCATTTAAATAACTTATTAAAAAAGTAATTGAGAGACATAGTATAAATTATGCAAAATAATTAATTTGAACATTTTTATGAGTGATTTTTAAAAGTTTAAATGACTAGAGAAATCAAATTTGAAAAACTGTGCATTTGATTTTAGAGTTTAACTTTTTCATCATGACAGTGATGTAATTTTTATCATCATGTTAATTTTCTTTCTTTTTTAAGCTATTTTATTTTCAAGACAGACTAATTCATTTTTTTAAACTATGTTTTTAATTTAATGTAAGACTAAACTATGTTTAAAACTGTGTTTTTAATTTAATGTAAAGTAAGACTGCATTGTTTTTATTACACTGATTTTTTTTTTTTTCATGTTATACATTGCAGGTTAAATATCACTTCAAGAGCTATAGATGTTGTTTATAATCCCCAAGTTTTAAGATGCGTCACTGATTTCTTTTCATTACATCATGACAAATCATCAGCTAATTTATCTGTGAGTGAGTTAAAGTTAACAGCTGCAGCTCGTGCAAGGTATGAAATTTTGAAGCAGCAAACTAAAGCTGAATTACAACAGAAGTGGGATGAAATTTTGGATGGTGAAGATAATACTGTAAGCAATTCAGCATTTTTGGGTGTAGTTATACATGTTAGCAGTAGTTGTTGTTTATCTCATTTCTTTTAATCAGTAATTGTCTGCTGAAAATATGATGCTTCTTTTATGCTTTTTGTCAATAATGTCCAATACAAGAGGCAAGTTTGTTTTGAAGGTATTTGGAAATATATCAACAAATTCTGTGTATCTGTATTTGTAATTTAGATTGATATGTTACTGTTGAGAAATGTTAAAACACTATTTTCAGAGTGAATTATATTTCTGACATAGATATATTGATGATATACAACCATAAAATTATTCTTGAATTCAAGAATAATTTTATGGTTGCTTGAGTGGAAAGTACACTCCCTGGTAGTTTTTCAGTATTAATTCATTGAGGTCAAAGACCAAAACTGCATTAAGTTTTTTAGACTAAAAGAAAAAAAAAAAATGTATAAATTAATGAAAGTAAATTGCAAAAACAGACAGAGAGAGAAGGAGGATGTAACTTAAAGTTATGTTATAAATGAGTTATGAATCTAATCTACAGTGGTGGCCAAAATTGAGGACACTTTTGGAAATTTTTATGTTTTTGAACTTTGTATGCTTATAGAAAATGTTACGTTTTGCAAAATGCAAACTTGTATATATCATTTTAAAGAAATTTATTTCTGAATTAAATACAAAACACAAAATTCATTATTGCAATACAAAAAGTTATATGTACTTTATATAAATAAAAACACAGTATGAAGTGGTTTATAATGCCTAGCTTTCCTGGCCAATTATGTTCTGTTCTGAGAAACCAATCAAACTGTTAGTAACTGCCATAGAAGCTGACATCATGTTTACACTTGAAATAATTCATTATTTTGCTTTGTCTGTACAAAGAGGACCCTGTTTTTATACACTGCAATTACAAGTAAGAATTTTGTAAAAAATTTTTGATATTTAGTCAAGAAGCAATGACATCAATAAAAAGAGTAGATTGGACACCTAGAAAGAGATGCAATATTATTGTGTTACGAGAAAGTGTCTTTCCTATGCTGAAATTGCAAGACAGGTGGGTGGTTCAGTGACTACATCTGGAGTCCGAAGTTTTGTTTACGATATCAGGAGACAAATTAAATTAAAAACAAAGAAGGAAAAGGCCGAAAAAGTGCACCACATCTAGTGATGCAGAAGAATAAAAGACTATGTCTCCAAGATAGAAAATGTCATCAGTGGCCATCAGAAGTGATCTGAATGATGCTGGTGTTTCTGTCAGTTCAAGAACAATCAGGAGAAGATTAACAGATGTTGGACTGAGAGGTAGAATTTCACTAAAAAAGCCTTTTCTTAATTTTCAGCAACAAAAAAAAAAGACTACAGTGGGCAAAGGAACACATTAATTGAACAGATGATCAGTGGTCACAAGTTAAATGGAGTGATGAAATTAAGATATCGTTATTCGGTAGTGATGGGCGAAAATATGTAAGATGTAGAATAGGAGAAGAGCTACATCCTGACTGCATTCAAGCAACTGTGAAGAACCCAATTAGTGTTATGATTTGGTCATGCATGTCAGCAGATGGTATTGGTCACCTTTATGTCATCGATGGGACACTGAATGCCAGAAAATACATTGACACTATTCTAGAACCAAAACTTCTACCTTCCATCAGAGATCTCTTTCCCAACAATGCTTCATTTATTTTTCAGCAGGATTCATTTATATTTCAGCAGGATATTGTGAAACGTAACATTTTCTATAAGCATACAAAGTTCAAAAACATAAAAATTTCCGAAAGTGTCCACAATTTTTGCCACCACTGTCACCACTATCTCTCGCCACTGACAGCTTCTTCTCTGTAGTTTACCTTGGCACTACAGTTTCTCTCCTCAGAAAGTAAATTTATTTTTCTGCTTCTGCAAACTGGATAAGTATTTCAGTTGCTCATAGGGTCGCTGCTAATTTCTTGTAAGGTGTCTTGGCTTTTTTTATGTACGAGGGCCATCCAGGAAGTAGATTACGTTTCCGTCTGTGTCCGCTAGGGGCAGGGCTAGCGCGGCCATCTTGGGGTCAGAGCGTTGCGCAGCTCAGTCTGCATCTAGCCGTGCTAGTGAGAGGTTCGTGCTGTGCTCCGTTCAGATACTGTGACGGTTTGAAATGCTGCGTTAATTGAAAATCCCGCGAGCGCGAGGTGCGCTCAGTAATAAGGTTTCTGACTGCAAAAAAACTGTAAACCGATAGAATCTATCGGCAGTTCGTGAGTGTATGGGGACAACATATCACTGAAGGTGGAGTGCGTCAGTGGGTCCTAAGATTTCAAAATGGCCGAACCAATGTTCACACGAAGATCGAAGTGGGAGACCCAGCATAGTGACCGCCGAACTTCTCGAAAAAGTCGATGCTAAAGTCGTGAAAATCGAAATTTCACAATAACGGAACTTTCTTGAGTTTTCCACAAATTTCGCGAAGTTTGTTGCACGAAATCATCAGCGAAAAGCTTGGTTACACAAGTTTTGTGCAAGATGGAAGGCAAGAAGAGTAACGAAGTGGTGAAGGCGGGGCATGCGGCCGAATTTTTCGACGAAGGAATCCAAGCTCGTACATCGCTACGATAAATGCCTTAATTTGTATGGTGACTATGTAGAAAAGTAGTATTTGAGTGTGGCTTCATCTGTATATAATAAAATTTGTTTCCTATACTTTGTTTATTTTTTTATTCCAAAACGTAATCTACTTTCTGGATAGCCCTCGTATTTAGTCATTTTTAATATTTCCTAAATGTTGGAATAATTTATCCAATTCGTTGCTTCGTCTAGCTTTGGTTGTAAAGTTTTGCTTTAGTTTCTCACTATACAGGCTAGTATTCTTGACTATTTTTCTTTCAGTTTTCTGCTTTGGAAATGATGGAAAATCTTCTTTAAAGAACTTTGAGAGATTTTCTTTAGTTTTCGGATACAGATTGGATTTCTTCTGATTTTGATAAGTTCTCTTGTAAAATGGGGAACTCTGGTATGGTTTAGATATGTTTCAAGACACATATATATATTGATATCTATTTACATAAAGGTACTATGACAAATTTTATTAAATACACATTATTAAATACTCTTTAATTAGCAGTTTGGCTAGTTAAAGGGTTAAATTAAGAGTGGCCTGCTGTCAAATAAAAAAATAAATAAATAAATAAACAGAGGATATTCTTTGGCAGTGTGCTTATAATATAACACAGGTATCCTTAATGAATGTAATTCATTCCATGGTGGTTTATTATGATATAGGTCATTCATAATGCTGGATACTATTTCCCCTAGGTTACTAAGGCAGAAGATTGAAATCTTATTCCCAGCTTAAATCTTTTTTCCAGCTTATTGTATAGATACAAATAAAAAATTTCAGAGAATACAAAAATGCCACTAATATAGGAAATTTGAGGAATTTACTGATTTATTAATTATAAAAATACTCATACAGTCTAGGTCTATGTACAGGGGTATCAGAAAGGAATTATCTGATTACAAAATTTTATGTTTACCATAATTACAACAAGAAAATTATAACTGATATGCCATTGTAAAGAAAAATGTTATTATTTTTTTCTAAAGTGTTCGACATAACTTTATTTAGTTATCCATATAATATAATGCAATATGCCTCTTCTTGCCAAACATATTTCAGCTCATCACTAGGCTTCAGTGCTTGCGTGCTTTGCAATTGGTAAGGCTTAAAATGAATTTTTTTTCCAACACAGTCCAAACTGTAGACTGAGATATCCCAAGTTCACAACTAGCACAGACTGTCGATTTCTTCAGACTGCATTAAAAAAAAAAAAAAAAAAAAAAAAAAAATCTCGAACTCTTCTAACATTTTCTGCTGTAACACTTGGTTGTTCTGGACTTTTGCCTTTATACAGATATTTAATTTCCTGGAACTGGTTGTACCACCTTCTGATATTCTAAGATATCAGTGTTTTATTTCTCCTAAATTCACGCTGAACAGTGATTATTAACTGACTTCTTGCAAAGGATAACACACAAAAAACTTTCTCCTTCTTAGTTGCCACTCCTACTTCTTTTCAGAATTTCTGGAACAGCTTAATGACAACAGTGCTGTTATCTGTTGTGAAATACAATGTTACAAACTAAAAATGTAACATTTTCAATTTACAGTGACATATTAATAATAATTTTCTGTTTGTGATTATGAAAAATATTATATTTTGTAATTTGATTTTTTTCCCTTGATAACCCTGCATATTTATGGTCTCACAGTTTTTTTAGCTCAATTTAGTCTTGAGGCTTTTTTACTCTTCCATTATTGAAAGTCTCATTTGCCCTTTATCTTCACTGACATCTGTTTTTGGTAGGTTCAAATTAAAAAAAAAAATTTAAAATGGTCTATTTTCTTCTTCAGAACGATCCTCAAGTAGTGCGAAATATTGTCATTGAATAGACGAACCAAGCTGTTCATCTCAGTTTATTGGAATATCATTACATTGCTGTGACCTGGATCTCTTCCTAATTTTGTTTAAATAAATTTTTGCTTTCAGAAGAACATGCATTTCTTCAGTGTTGATATATCATTGAGAAATATGTTTCAAAGGTTTATGCTCAGATTATTATTATTATTGTATTCATCTGCTGTTTAAACAGAAAGAAAACAAGTTTAGCTCTACCTTTAATATGTGATGAAATTCACATGCCATTCATGATGCTGGATGCTTCTTTCAGCATGTGCATGTTTTCATTATGTGGGAAATTCATAATACAAGGCATTCATTATGTCAGTTACTACTATAATGTAAATTAAAATTAGGAAAGTACAACCTTATATTAACTTTCTTAAAAAATGTTCTGATTTTCAAAGGAGATAAACAGGTTTCTTTCACAATCCATTGTTTTTCTGTATAACCAATACTAGTATAAGGTTTTATTTTCCTCAAATTCACATGTTTCTTTTCATATAACAGTTTTAAATGAGAGTGTAAAATAATAAATATATATCTTTTTTAGGTTTATTCTAAGGGTTGGAATATAGAAATGGCTATTTCAGCACCACAAATAATAATTCCTGAAGATATTCTGGATAAAAACTCATCAGTTGTAAGTCAGACTACTGATTGTACTGTTACTTATAATATATACTGTTACTTATAATTATAGGAAGTTTCTGAAGCGTGTTTTAGATTGAAAAATTATTTTTCAGGTTGTATTTGATTTGGGAAAGTTGCACTTGTTCAATGCAAAAAAGGATGATCTAACCAAAAGCACTTCAATGTCAGAAGATTTAGATGATGATGGTAAAGACTTTCGTATTGTTGAAAAATAAAAAATATCGTATTTTACTTCATTGTTATACATATGTGCTATGATTGTTCTTATAAAATATGACATTTATTTTACAGGTAATTCTTCTCATTTAAAAAAAAAAAAAAAGGTGTATTTGCTTTTTTTTTTTTTTTCTTTTTTTTCCTTCCTTTCTTCTTTTTGTTTGTTTTGTTTACGATTCTTTATATATAGTTCATTTCATGTGAAAGTCATGTTATTTTTCTAAAAATATTAAAAATCATTCCATCATGGTAGTTTATCACCAAATCTGGTTTTGGCAAGTATTTTTTAGCAGTCTGTAGAGCTAATATTAAGTGATGTGGTGAGGAATGGTAACTTGGTTGCACATTTTAGAATTATTTTTCATCATCACCTGATAGGGCAAATCCAGTTTTTTCTAGGGAAACGGAAGAAATGTTGAAGCATTGCATCTCTTCTGCATTCTGATATGGAATGCCTTCATAATGATGATGCACATTTATGCAATTTGACCACTGTTAGAAAAGACAGCAAACCTCATAATGATGCAGCAGTTTAAGGGATCATGCACAAACTGAAGTTAAGTGGTTCACTTAAAATTGTCTACATTTTAATGAAATTGTTTACATTTTAATGAAAAATGGCAAATTGGTATGAGTGTCGAAGTTGTCTGTGAAAGAGAAAGAAGGAATCCAGAAGAAAATGTCGTAACAGATTGATAATAAATGAATGTGAGTAATTATCACAAATCAGTTAAATAAACTAGTAATTATAAATTAATTCATAATTTAAATAAATATCTATAGCTTTAAAACCAAACAAAAAATGTTCAAATATCTTTTCATTCATTAGCAAAAATTATTTCGGAATGCAACCCTTTTGTAACTACTGGTCTAGTTTTTTCAGTGCTTGAAATCTGCATTTCCAGAAATCAAGGCCAGCTATATCTATAAAGGAACACAGATGTGCACCTTTATGAAAAATGCTGGATTGTTATAAAGGTGCCTATGATTAGTTTCAAGTGAGAGACTTATTCAGTTACGTGTTTTGTACTGTTTGGCGTGAATTCAACTAGTGTTTTCTTGTAAGAATGTTCCATTTGCTCCTTTCATACATAAGAATTGCTTTTAGTAGAGCTTTCAAAGAAGTATGATATTTCCTTATTCTTTTTACCATCGATGTAATTATAGATGTTCCATAGAATTCAAGCTCAAATAATATGGAGAAGTTTTGATAACTTCAGGACAGTTGTATGATAACCACAAGCAAACTATAGGGTGCTATGTTTAGGATCGTCATTTTGATAGAACTTGAATGTATTTTGCATTCGAAGTTTCTTTGAAGATGCTTTCAGGTTTTCATTAATAATATTTTTATGTTTAAACCATTTCATATTATTTTCAATAAATACTAAATTTGCTATTCCAAAAGTAGCAAAACATTTCAAAACCATTATGTCTCTGTCAATAGATTTTTTTAAAATTCAGTTCTTAATTAAATACAGTCAAAAGTCGTTAATCCGGACTCGTCGGGACTTCGGCGATTCCGGATTATCGATTTTCCGGATATGATCATCAGTTTAAATCTGGTAAGATCATTGCCGAAGAAATTACAAAATTAAAAAAAAATATGAAAACCGTAATTTATGAAATAAAGAAATTATGATCTAAAGGGTATCAAAATTTACAAAAAGAAAAGCTTCATATATTTTTGTTTACTTTATTAAACATTTCTTTCAATGTAAGTTGCTTCGTTTCATGTGATAATTACTTTCTCTTTAATTCTATTAAACAGACTAATTTCTTGTTTAGTTACAAAGTTCCGCTGTTCAAGTCCTATAATTGCTGTGTTGAGAATACCGACTAATTTGTCAATCGAAATGTTTTCGTTTTCAATAACCTCTGGGTCACTTTCTTCACTATCGGAAGCGAATTATAATGACGAGGAACTTGATTTAAATCATATCAAAGACGGTGTACATCGAAATGAAATACTACACTTAGTACGGAATTATAAACGAAATAAAATAAAAACATCTGCCCTGAAGATAAGGATAGTGCTGACAGATCAACTTCCAATCCGCAGCGTGAAATTGATAAATAGATTTCGGATTTCAAAACATACTTTCGCTTTGTAGATACAAATTACATATTAGTAAATATATATCAGAAATTCTATTTGACATAATCTTTCTAATCTATCATAATCTAATAATGACGTTTCTGCCCCCCCCCTCTGCGGCAGAGCAGCGTGAAATTGATAAACAGATTTCGGATTTCAAAACATACTTTCGCTTTGTAGTAAATATATATCGGAAATTCTATTTGGCATAATCGAAAGTTCAAGCTTACTTTATAAATTGCTCTAACAGTCTGCAAAAATAATAAAGCGTATCCATTTCGAAGATTAAGGAAAAGCAATCTGCAACATTAAAACTGAATTAGATAACTTTAGCTTAGCGTATAACTCCGTACCACATAAAACGCGCATGCGCACAAACATATTCGCAGCCGTAAGGGTCTTACGCGCTCTCGTAAACGCCTGTGCGCATGCGTGAAAGCGACGCATGCGCAGAAAGTTTGTAGCTTTGAGGTCCGGATTATAGATCATTCCGGATTATGGGTGTCCGAATTAACGACTTTTGACTGTATAACATTGTTACAAAATGATAAAACTTTGCTTGTCAGGGATTTTGTGAATGCCAGGCATATTTTCTTTGTTTTCTTGTTGATGAAGAATTTCCTTCTTACTGATTACTCATTGTATTCATATGTCTTAAATTATTCTTGTAAAAGCTTCAGGGTTAACGTTTAGTGCAAACTGATTTGAATCTGCTGAATGTTTTACAGTACTAATTTTTAGGTGTTGTTTGACTTTTCATATAGTAAATCTGCATTTTCTTGGTGTCAGTTTAGAATGTGTTCCAGAGTATAGTGCATTTTCAGTTGTTCCCTACAATTTCAATCATTTTATTGCATCAAAAATAGTTAAATGCTTTACATCAAGGATTTTTTTTTTATATCCGGAATACTTTTACTGTCAGAAAATGCATAATTAAATTCCTAGCAGAAATGAGTGCTAAATTCTAATGGCTTGCTATGTTTACTTCAGATTTGAAACTGTTAATATATTTTACTAAAACATTTGAACAAAACTTTCAGGTGTCTGAATTATTTTAAGAGTTAGTGATTAACATTTTTTGAAAAAATTATTTTATTACAAGGAATGTTTGGATGATATTTATTTTACAACAAACAAGGCTTAAAGTAAAGGAAAAATGATATATTAGGGGAAAAAAATTGAAGTCTTTGTTTAAATATTTAGTATAAGATCTATGCAAAAAACATTTTAAAAATAGAAGTATCTGAAAACAAATTTAAGCCATTGTATCTCTTTCACTTGATCAGCCATATTGTTGATTTATCAAATAAGTGTGTTATTTGGCAGATGTGAATACTGTGAGTAAAATATGTTTAGTAGGGCATTTTGTGCCATACTAATCATATATTCTGTGAATTTGTTGATGTTAATTTTGTGATTGCTTGAAACAAGTATTAAGGGTATGGACATATTTTTAAAATTTTTTATGGCAAAAAAGTGTTAGCATTCAATCCCTGCCCCCAAAAAATTAAATCTACCCATCTACATAATTCCGATATTTGAAATTGTAAGCTTTTAGTCTTTATTTCTGTGTTTATCATTCTGTCAGTAGAATTTTAAATGCTCTGTATTTTTGTGTCACAAATATAGAATTACTATATTGATAAAATATCATTGATAGAGTTACATACTTTATCATCACTGAAAAAATAAAATTATGATTAACTGATACTGATAAGCAATAATGCAAAACTCTGTTAAATAAATGTTTGATTTTTTTTATCAGCTTTTATTGCCATGTATTTTTAGCATTCTGTAGGGCTAACATTAGATAATGTGGTGAGGAATGGTAACCTGGTTCTATACTTTAGGATTATTTTTCTTCATCACCTGATAGGACAATATCCAGTTTTTTTCTAGGGAAATGGAAGAAATGATGAAGCATTGCATCTCTTCTGCATTCTGTTATGGAATGCCTTCATAGAGGTGCTGGACCTTTATGCAATTTGACCACTGTTAGAGAAAACGGCAAACTTCATAATGGTGCAGCAGTTTAGGGGATTGTGCACAAACTGAAGTTAAGTTGTTCACTTAAAAGTGACCATTGGCACCCTTATGTGTTATATTATCCAATATTTTTTCATGAAAGTGCACACACCCTTATGCAAGTCAGAATTTTGTTTCGAAATTGCACAAAATTATTTTAGAGTTAAATGCTATCAGGATAGCAAATTAAATAATAATAGCAGTAAAGAGGTAAAACAGATCAGGGCTCCCACACCTGGGTTTTATGATTGTCATCTGGGTTGATAGGTTCCTGCTTCCCACAAAAATATCTCATTATCTGGGTTTTTTCCTAATTTTTAAGTCAAAATTTATTTTTATGTCTTGCAAATACAATAAAATAAAATGCATTTAATAGTTTGCAATTTTCTTAATTGTATATTCCAGCAATTGTTATTATAATTTGTGATAATTAAAGTTCTTGTGCAAAATACAGCAGATGTAAAAGGATTTCAAGGTTTTTTTGCAGGGTTCTAGTGTATATTTTTTGTTTATGTTACTTACATCTGTAACTTCTTGAGCAGGGAAAAGGTGGTCTTTATTGCACAGTCTATCATGATCATTTGTGGAATTATTGCATTATTTGGTGTGATGTGTACATTTATGCATGTTTTGCATACACTGATACACTTTTTAACTGTAGTGATTATTTCTATTTTATATTATTGAATTAGTGTTTTATTTTTTATATTATAGAACATTTTTAAACAAGATAACTACTAAATACCCCCAAGTGTCTGAAACTTGTTCCCCACTGAGACAGATGAGTAAACTGTTGTGTAATAAAATTTTCAGACATTAATGTTGAGAAAATACGGGAATGCCAATAAATCAATGTTTCTAGCATACAAAAATACAGTTTAACGCAAATAAAGTGCAAATATTGCTAAAATAAGATCAAAGCTAGGCACACTGTTCACAAGTAATAAATCTAGGAGAAAGAACTAGCAAATGCAGAGTTAACAATTGCTGCACTCATGTCTGTGATTATAATTCCATTTGTGGAATGTGATCATCTTATAGAACTATGTAAAAAAAGTATTTCATGATAGCAATACTAAAAAATAAATTCAGATAAAGGTGACTAAAGTGTCTTATCTTATACAACATTCTATACCTATCATAAAAAAATACGCATTTCCAACATATGAAAAAACAAATTCTCAGGGATAATAGATGAAAGTACGTATGTATCAGTAGCACAGTTCTAGCTGTTGATATTAGATATATTGATATTAAAAAAATTGATGTTGTTGATGTGTTAATTGACACTATTTGTCAAAAATGATAAACTTTTCATAGAAAAAACATTCCAATGAGTAATCTTGTTGGCTTTGGAAGTACTCATCCTTGTACTCATCCTTGTACTCATCATTGGGCTACTATGATGAGTACTAGGATTGGGTCTAATCATTGCTAAAAAGGAATGTATCATCGACATTTAACTTGCAATGTGTTTGCCCTTCTTTTGCATTGTGTGCTAGTCAAGGTGTTACAGATACCAAAGCATAAAATCCCCAAATTAGCACAAACACATTGGCTATTCTGTGGCTTAGTTTCATTTATTTGATTATAGTAAAGTACACTAAGGCTATCTGCCTGAGTCAGAAATGCCTTCATGGAGAACTTCCTAAAAAAAACTGGCTGATGTCCATGTTACGCTTTCAAAAAACTGCAGAAATGTCCATGCATGTAGCCCCTTCCCCGGGAACCAAACCCAGATATAACTACCAGTGTTCAATGACTTTACCACTCAGTCACTGGTGGGCATCTCATGTCAATGTAATAAAAATTATTATTGAGCAGTGTGATGTGTTAATTCTTTATTTGCAATCTCAATCAAAAATCTATAAAATGGGTGGTGGAGGGAATATTTAAATAACCAAAGGAATCAAAGGAATGGTTCTGTGATAATGAAAGGAACTAAGCATATGTTGCTGTATGTAGGATATGTTCTAGAGACAATAAGCTATCTGAATATTGAATTTCAATAAGAGGATTTCAGATTGCACTTCACTTTATTCCATGGTTTGAAATTAATATAAAAATATTCTTAGTTTTTTCTTAAAAGACCAAGTCATTACTTCTTACCAGCTGGTTCAGATTGGTCCAAGCAATGCAATAAATCATAAAGCTCTGAATAAAATATATTTGGGATGCCATTATGTGGCCTTATTAAATACAACACTGCTTAGTGACAATGAAAACATGGTTAAAAACGACTGTTTAAAATTTCTTGGTGTTAGTTGGATTTAGGTTCATTATAACTCTATAAAATAAGTCTAAGTGTACAAGACATTGGACAGGAGCATAGAATTCATTCATTGTAAACAGCTTTCACTATGGCTATTCTAAGTTTAACTGTATTGTGTATTGCTTTTGATTTATGACTTGTTTATTTTTAGTAATATTTTCCTGCTGTTATGGTACTCAATATGCCTAAACACACAATATTCTTTTTTAAATATTCTTAGAGGATTTTATTACACCTTGTTCTACACCTCAAGAGCTTCTAGAACAAACAGAAAAAGCTAATAAATTGATGGAAATGATTTCAAGTCCAAATGATCCTCATGCAGTCAAAGAACATATCTATGAGAAGTAAGATACATTAAATTTTTATAATAAAAATCTTCAAGTTGATTTTCTCTCTGTCTGTTATTATAATATCATTATACAAAACACATATTACCATATTTATATATTAATGCATTTACACCTGGATAATATGTTGTCTTTGGTATTGATACAATATGAGATATTAAGCAAAGTGACTTCTAAAATAGAGTTTGTAGAGGGAGACTGGGAAGGAATTTAAATTGTTTTTAAGATTTTTCAAAATACATTAAAATTTTAAGCTAGAGTAAAAAGGAATTATTTCTATTATTTACATATAATTTAAATTTTGTTTTAAATGGCTCTTGATTCAACTTTGGTGCCTTTGGAATTAGAAATCATATTTTCACCATTTGTTTGTGTAGAATAAGTGTATCATGCAACTATCATTTAATTAACTGTCAAAATGTAATGTTTTAATATACAAAAGTGTTTTTCCTTACTAGGTGGCTTTGTAGAATTTTTTTCTAATTCATTCTAAAAATATGAGAATGTAGTTAAATTGAGCTATGACAAGTATTATATTTTTTTGGAGAAAAGAGTTAAAACTTTTATCTACAGATATACAAATTTTAATAATGTTGTAGTATGTAATCTACTCCTTTAATTTATTTTTTCCTTATATGGTGCTCTCAAAATGCTATTTTTAAATTAGAAAATAAATACAAATAATAAAGATAACATAAATGAAAATGATTCCATTAAATAATGTATTAACCTATTAAACTTTTAACTCCATTAAATTAAAATTCCTTCCAGTTTCGTAAAAAAGTAAGAATAGTCCATAAAAGAGCTGTTCAGCTGTATATATTACAAATGGTGCATAGCATGGCTAAAAAGTAGTCATCTCTTTTATTAATGGATCTTGCCATGCTTCTACAATATATCCACTGAGTTCATGTCACCAACATTAATCTCCACTGTGCTTCTGTGATAAATTCTGATAGCTTCATAATTCAATAATAGCTTAAAAAAATAAAAATTTCAGTGGCCTTCATATTTGAACATGCACTAAAAATGGCAGGAAAAGAGAAATGACTGAAATGGCGACCAGTTTTAGTGGTACCATCTAAAGAATAAGGAACTGAAAGCAGTAGATTGCATACTGGATCATTACCTAAATTTCTTTGTTTCAAATAATAAAAGTGTAGTTTTAAAATGATACAATAAAGAGGATTTTTCCTTTAATATTGCCAGGGAAAGTAAACTAATTTATTTACAAGAATAGATGAGATCACTGCAAAGCAAATGGCATGATAAATGATATCCAGTGATGGCTGAAAGAGGTTTAATGTTTTAAAACTAATTTTTAGCTGCATATATAAATAATTTGTAATTTTCTCTCAAAATTACTCTACTTTTGAGATTTTCTGCATAATCTTTCTGATAAATTTCATTATAAAAGCACTTTGATTTTAGTAGTTATATTTAAAAAAAAAAAAAAAAAAATTGTGTTCAGCAGAGGCATAGTTTTTAGAGTAACATTATATTTTCTAATTTTTATCATATAATGTTTTTCATAAAGGATGAATGGATGCTGTAACAGTTCTGCAGATTTACTTATTTTTCATTTAAGTATTAAAAAAATGCCGCATAAAATGTAATTCTATGTATATATAGGCATTCCCATATTAATTTTAAATTAATATGATGATTACTTTATTTCAGATATATTCTTGAATTGAGTAATATTCAAGTGCTTGTTAGTCGTTTGAAAGATAACTGGAAATTTGCACAACTTCGAGGTACTAGCACCATGCATATCTTAGACAGATTTTCTATAACCATTCAGACAGAAAGGTAATGCGGGTTTTCAGAGTATGAAATATTTCTTTGGGGGATTTTTACAATAACTTTTTCTAATTCTTCTGATAACTAATTTTTTTTTTTTTTTTTTTTTTTTTTTTAAAAAAGCTACTTTGACTGAAAATATTATTTATTTCATATTAACTAGCTATAGCTGAGCAGATTAGCGAAAATTTTGGTATTTAATGTTAATAAGCCTGTATCTACAGGGGTTGGACAAAAAATATGGAAAAACCTTTAAAAAAACTGTTTCTTTGCTTATATGTGTAGGAAACCCGTTGGCATCCAAAAACAGCTTGCAGTCTTTCGGAAGGGATAAATACAATTCCTGTATGTTTGCCAAGGGAATAGTATACCATTCTCCTGCAAAACGGGGCAAGTTAAATAACGATGTTGCAGGATAACGAGAACACCTTCCGTTTTTCCGTTCCAATGTAGACCACAAAGGTTCGATAATATTCAGGTCTGGTGACTGTGGTGGCCAGGGGAGATGGACAACTCATCCTCGTGCTCAGAAAACCATCCGGACAATGTGAGCTGTGTGAACAGGGCTTTGGTCGTCTTGGAAGACACTATCCCATCGGGGAACAAAGTTGTACCATGGGATGAACTTGACGGCCAAAATGTTCACATAATCTTGGCAGTCATGTGCTCTGACACAGTTATCATGGGGCAGAAGATAACCACGATGGCTGCCCAAACCTAACAGAAACCCGCCATGTTTCTCTTGCAACAAGCAGCCTGTAATTATAGGATTGAGATGCGCTTCTCCAGACGTAAACTCGGCCAGAAGTAGGAACAATGTAAAAGAAGACTCGTCAGACCAATTTACTCGCCACTTGCTATAGTCCAGGGTTATGACCTTAAACACCACTTTTTCCTGTTACGGGATGAGCTCACTGATGAGTGGCTTTCAATTGCAACACGGCCAGCAATCCTGTTATGAAGCCCCTTTAATTGTTTTGTACTCACAGGGTCGGTTAAACAACAATTCAGCCGGTAACTTTGCAGCTGTGGTCTTCTTATTTTTCGTCACAATTGCCCTTAATGATCGTCTGCAGATCACTCAGGACACACTTTCATCTGCGCTGTGATTAGCAGATGAGGTTTTCGCTTTTCAAAATGCGGAATAAATCTTCGATACAGTACCTCTTGAAGCACTAAAACACCTCGGCTACCTTGCTTATGGAAGCACCTACCGTACGTGCCTCGACATTGCCACATTCAAGTCTGTTACTCTGACAATGCAATAAAAAACCTCACATAATGTACTCCGCAACAACTGAACTGTTTAGCCATTTACGAAGTGTATAGGTGGGTCAGTAGTCAAAAGCCAGCACCACTACATACCTATAAATCATCTTTCTTTCAACACATGCATTTCACAAGGTGTTTCCATATTTTTGTCCATCCACTGTATGTTGTATATAAAAAGGATTCTGTTAATTACTTTTATTCAAAAAATAGATTTTTAGAAATTCTTTATAAGCAGATTTGAGTTTTAGTTTTTTAGCTAGTTTTTTAGAGAGTTAAGTTTTTTGCTAGTCTTTGTAATTTGGATTTATGCTATACTAGCTTCTATTATAAGGCTTCTTAAAATGGAGTAGTTTGATGAGCAGATTTATTGTTTTGTGGAGTTATCTTTTTGGTTGATTGCATTAATTTTTTTAATTAAAAATTTCTTATTGTAAACCGAATTTAAATTTGTATGTTTATTGTAAACGTTTTTTGTTTTACCATGTTGATGCTTTTAATTTAGAAGTAAAGAATAATTATTGTTTAGTTACTCAGTGGAATCCTGACAGTTCATGTTGTATGTGAAATATGTATTTTAGGTATTAAATGGTAATATTGTTTTGGTAATTGAATGGTAGATTGAACATGTTTGAATTTAAACATTTTTTTAGCAACTTCTGAAATGATATAATGAATAATAGCCAAAATATGTCTACCACAAAAATTTGCTGGTACAAGTCAATTTGATGGTGATTTTTTAATTAAGTGTTTTATAATAGTTGTTAATAATAGTTTTATAATGATTTCATGAAAGGAAGAGAAATAATGTTTGAAATTATATTGTGAATGCAAATTTCTGAACATCTCATGATATTGATGATAATTTAAAATGTTTTTATGCATAATAATGTGCAATGATATCAACAACTGACAGTTCATCCAGGTAGTGCAAACATTTATTATTTTAATAAAACTGACCAAAATAATGCTGCTACAAGAAACTTTTTTATTGCAATAGAAATATTTGAATGCTGAGAAGAATTTACAATACTATTTATGTATTTATTTATATGTTTTTGAGCCCACCAGTTTTCAAATGGTTAAGACTATACTTCGCGACAAGCTAACCTGAGAACACATACAAGGCTAGCATGAACGACCTTTTCACAGCTTTTCACCCTGTTCTTCAAGCTATCCATATGCAGTAAACTGCCTGTGGATATTCAGTTCCTCCAATTCACTACACATTTGGCAACTTCTTGCCAAATCCAGCGTATTTAAATAACAATTTTTTTATGCAGTGAAGCTGTAGTTGAAATTGATAGTTCATCATAGTGTAAAATGTAGGGCATGTTATAAAACTTGAAACTGGAAGAGCTAACAATGTATTCCTTGCAGTTTGGGTCAAAGTTTTTCCCCAAGACCGTTCGCATAGTTAAAAGTAAAATATATAAATTTGGAAAATCTGGTAGTAAATTATTTTCTTTTAATTTAAGAGGAGGTAGGGTTGGGAAAACAGTGAAAGAGGGGAAATTTTATTTTATTTTTTAAAGACTTCCTTTAATTGGATTGTTTAAAAAACTCTGACATATTTAGACTTATGAAAATATATACTGATTAATTGCTCCTTAAAACACACGGCAGGCAGCGCGCAGAAAAACCTTCGCAGTACGGGAGCGATCTTTCTGATTACTGGGAAAATAAAATGAATAAAAAGACTGGAAATTGAGATCATAAGATTGAAGTCTACTAAAGAGCTTACCATTAAAAATTTAAAGGTATTAGAAAAATATTAAAGCTTTGAAATTGTGAAACAAACATAAAAATTAAGAATCAAATAATCTTATAACAATTAATTAATCACATACGAATTAATTCCACTAATTGATTATAATTATAACATTAGAAATGTCTTATATTTGTTACAACAAAGCGCAAATATTCATGAGAACTAAATAAGTATAAAAAAAAATTAAATTCTTAAAAAGTGCATTTATTGCTTTTAAGACATTTACCATATTAAATGACAGTTTGCTTGTGCATTTTAAAAATTAATTAGTTTTTGTGCTTTGAACGAATGAAACGTCTATGCGTGACGATGTGGCATGAAAGGAGAGTCTTTTGCTTCGCGAAGGAAAATACATTGCTTCCCCTTCTCAATTTATAAAAAGCAGACCGATTCAGCTGTCCGAGAATCAGCGAATTATATTTTGTCATGTAGGACTGTATAAGCTAAGTAAAAACAATACATTTCCTTCGAGGTATAAAAACAGCAAGCATATCATAAGCAAAAATCTGGCTATTCCTTTGCTTGGATGGAATCATCTGCAAGTCAAGCGCATTAATGATAGAGTTGCTTAAGCCGTGAAACACTGGTAGGATGCAGCGAGTTCCTTTGTAATGATTTTTGTAAGCTCTGAACTGCATAGGAGTCCCTCAGTGTGTTATATAAAAAAACTCCTTTACCTCTATAAATTTTCCATGAAGCCATCTCTTCCTTTAGGCAGAAACCCTTGTTCCTTCTACTATAGTTAATTCAATTGATCAGTACTTCCGTATTGGTTAGGTTAGGTGATTTGCATATAGCAAAGCACACAAGAGATTCCCGAGTAAGTGGTGAGATTCATTTCGTGGAGGACTTCCTACAGGAAACAAGTTCGTATTCACGTTACACATGGGAAAAGCAGCAAAAACGGCTATGGTGTAGTGTATTGAGAATACGGAAAAGCACACTAGGGCTATCTGCCTAAGGGAAGGGATGCCTTTGTGGAGGACTTTCTAAGGAAAACTGGCTCGTATACATATTACACATGGAAAACCACGAAACCCCATGCAGCCAGCCCATCGGGGGATCGAACCTCGAACCGAACTACCAGTATTCAGCGATTTTACCGCTCGGCCGCTGGTGGGCCCAAAACCGACTACAGCCCGTTCAATTGCACTCAAACAACTCAGATATTTAACCACTCGGCTACTGGTGCTACACTTCCATTTTATATTTTTTTAAGGGATTTGTTAGCTTGTATTTATAATGCTATTTATAACTGTTTACAGGTCTGCCTCTTTCCCCCCTTGTAAACGGCTCTTGTAATTTTAATTTGTGGCATTGGAAAGGGCTTTTTTTTTTTAAACTGAGGTATTCAATCCCGCAAATATTATAACAAGTAACAATATCATTATTGTATTTATAAGGAAAATGCCCTCCCGTAATTGACAAAAATATTCATTACGATAATCTTAGCAGTACTGTTTATTCAGGTTTATGAGATTTTGCAGCTTTATGAGGTTAAAAATTGTACACATATGTCGAAGATACCATAACAACTGCTTTTTTCTCCTCCTGGTCAGTGAATGAATGAATGCCTTAATTGCTTTTCTCATCAAGAGTGGGGTGAGGTCGGAGTTGCTGGAATTTGCTGTTTCGCCAATAGTGCCAAAAAAAAAAAAAAAAAAAAAAAAAAAAAAGGATGTCTCCCTGCTGGTCATTGAATGATTGACACGATTTAGCAAATTTTAAAAAAGCTGGACGCAACGTAATCTATCGTTTTACACATTTTTTCCTTCTGTTCTCTTTGTTCAACAGTATTCATATATCACAGCGTAATTTTTACAATGTTACTTCTCGAAATGGTAGAACTATATTCTACGGCGGACGCATACACTTTTTACTGTATCCAGTGTTCTCAACTTAGGTTGACCTAAAGTATAGTGGATATTAGTAATTGAACCTAGATTTAATACTCAGCATATTGGCTGGCTGCATGCATATTTTCATAGTTTTCTCCTTGGTAGTAGGCTGGCTGCTTAGGTAGCATTACTACAAACCAGTTTGCCTTAAAAAAAAAAAAAAAAAAAAAAGTAGGCATTTCTCCCCACATGCAGCCACATGCCCCCCTTCTATGCTTTTCTGTATTCAGATAACCTGTGTAATAAGTTTGTATTTTAGTGTTTCAGAATACTTAGTAGTATATGGACTGCTGTAATGCAACAGATTTCCAGTTTCTGTGCTATTTATGAAAATAAAAGAGATAAATAATTGGCAAAAGGCAAGGAGGAGAATGAATGAATCATATAATAAAACTTCTTAACATTTTACCAACCGATCGCCTATTAATCAGCTTCTTTCAGCAATGCCTACCGACCGATAGCCTATTAATCGGCTTTTTTCTGCCAACGCCTACTGACAGGCAACCTATTAATCAGCTTTTTTCGCCAATGCCTACCGACTGATAGCCTATTAACCCCTCTGGCTAATCATCCCGCGATTTCCACAGGCAACTCAAATGTAGCAAAATTTGCTCATCCTGCGATTTCCACAGGCATATGTGTTTCTTCCTTTATTGAAAATAAATTATATACAGTATTAGGCGTTCAGTTTACGTTTTGGCCAATAGATATCATTAGTTGTCCACTAAATTGCGACATTTGAAGGCACATGGTATTATCGCTCAAACTTCACTTTTTGGCGCTTTTTTCTTACAGAAATGGCTGCTAGAAAACGTTCAGCCATTATCTTGATTATTTAATTAAATTATCGAATTATTAATTATGTTAATGATTAGACTGTTATTATTAGATTTATTTAATCTGTGCAAAAACTAGAAGTGGACTTCGCTTGACCTGTTTGCCTGACCCTGTTTTTGAACTCTATCAACTAACTGCATTCTAAGGTATTTTCTTTCAGGGCTTTAATTTTCTTAATTATACATTTTACTTTTTTATAGTATCATAAATAGAAATTACTGTAGTTCAACTGAAATTTAGTTATTTATTTATTTATTTATTTATTATTTATTTTTTTTTTTTTTTTTTTTTTTTTTTTTTTTTTTTTTGTGAAAACATCTAAATTGGTTTTTCTGGCATTAGTTTCTCATGAAAAATAAATATGTTTAAAAATATTTAAAAAAAATTTTTTCTAGAAAGAATAAGTGCATTAAACTATTGCCATTTGCTACATCATCTGCATTTTATTATTAATATTGAGGTACATTGCTCATTTGCGTTAAGTGCGTTGCTTCGTAAACTCCCACATTTTTACACCGTTTTTAAAAAATTTACCGTTCACGATGAGCGAAAAAAATGCTGCTGGAGAGTTTTATTTAGGCGAGTTATCAGATTGTCCTGACAGTTATTCAGGACATGTAGAATCTGAGGCTGAGCGGCCGGTCGGATGTGCGTATACTGTTGAACTGCTAGCGGTCGGTAAAATGTTAAAATCTGTTCACTTCCTGGTGATTGATGGCTGCAGGGTGTAAACAGGAGACTAAAAATAGGCTTACAATTTCTATTCCAGGACCTGCTTTGATGAATGTTGCGGAAATTTTAGTTCTACACGATTTTTGCTATTGCTTGTTTGTGTTTTGAACTAGACTATCATACTGAATGTTGTACTTTATTTGTAATTTAGTGTCTTAATCCTCCAGCTGGCAGGATGTATATATGTGTGTGGCATAGAATATGTTTTGTAACATATTTAAATAAGTATAATACATGCATCTTGAAATACATCCAAGAAATTAAAGCAGTATATTAAAAGAAAACCCAAATAGAAAGTACTAGTAGCATTTTATGCTATTTTAATCAAGAAAATACCTTGTAAACTTGACAGTTTTGGGAAATTTGGGATGTTAGAGCCAGTTTCATGACTGGGTGAAGATTTGATGGATGCAGATCGTATTTGGACTTTAAATTTTCTATCGTGAAAATTAAATTGCTGTCATATAGGCAAATGCCATTTGTATAGGGTTGCACAGCATCAGAAAGCCTATAGATAAGCATTTGCAGACTTCACATACAATATAAATCTTTCATTGTATGTATTTATTAAAAAACATTGAATATGTTTTGGATTTGAATTTACATGCAAGCATAGTTTTAGACAAAGTATATTTATTTGTGCTTATCTTTTCTTATTTTAATTATATCTAATTAGTTTTTAATTATGTTTACTGCCATATTTATTTTTGCTTTGACTTTTTTTTATATATAGAACAAATTATTTATTTGTTGTACAAATTTTAGGCGCATGGTGTACACCCAAGATCCTGAATGGCCATGTTTTGCTGTTACAGGAAATCTTCCAAAACTGATTGTTCATGTTAGTGAACAAAAGGTACTTTTAATATCATAAGTTGTTATTTTTAAATCAGAATTAAATATTTTAAAGATTATTCAATAATTTTGCTTCCTTTGATTTGGTACTTGTGTTTTATTATAATCCCATAAAAAATTTAAAAATGAGAGGCAAATGGTTCATAAATCATAAAATTCAGGTGGATAACAACAATGCATAGCATAATAAATTATAATAGTAGATATATATACAATGTTGTCTTCCCATAACCATGACCAAGACCTGATTTACAAAATGAAGCACAGAGCAAAATTTGTTACAGAGCTCCCCTTTAGTTTTTTTCACATCTCTGAAGTAAATTATATTTAATATTGCAGAGACCATATTAGGTCTTATTGTTTTGGAGAAGGAAACATAAAAAATCTGCAGTGTCCTCGCTGGAACTCAAATGCCAGCCCTTCTGACTGCTAACCAGATATGCTTTCTAATTACACTGCAGTGGCGTGCAGTGCAGTAAGGTGGGAAAAGATACCTTACAATATAAAGAATGGGCGTTTTGGGGGTTTTCCACATGTGTAATGTGTAGTGTATGAGCCAGTTTTCCTTAGAAAGTCCTCCACGAATGCATTCCTTCCTCAAATGCTTTGCCATAATATAATAAACCAAAGCCTTGGTATTAATGTGCTAACCAATTTACAAGTTAACTTAAGAACTGTTCAAATAATCATCTCATCTCACTTATTATAAATCATAATTTAGTAATCTATATTTTTAAACGAAGCCGACTGTAGTTCTTGTTCGTAGTGTATTTCTCAGTAGTTTCTAAGACTGAAGGTCTGAACAGAGGCAAGGAAACTAATATACAAGTTTTAATGTTTCATTCTGCTTCTAGTGTATTTTTAAAACTTAAAAATAGAGGGGGACCCATAATATTATTTATATTTTAAATATTGTAGAATTTGGAGGTCACTGAAAAGTGGAGGGGTATTTTTGCCCCCATGGAAACCAGGCTCTGAGTTGAACCATTCTCAGATATACATGTGAAATTCCAACTGATGTATCTTTATCTTATGCATGACTTTAATACAAAATCATGATATACTATTGTTTGACGTATGCTGTATTTTTTCATTACCGTATCAGCTTTTGAGAATTGAGTTAGGAAGTCATAATCTCAGATTGTCTTTTGTGGCAAAGAAATATATTGTTAATGTATAGATATATGTAAAATGCTGTACAATATATTTTATGATTATTTTACTGAATGTTAATATCTCGCTTTCAAAATTAGGCCCCTCCCACCGAAAAAGGAAGCAGCCTTTGTTTGGTTTAGATTTTGAGTAAAACTTATTGATTTTGAAGGTGATCAGTTGCAGGTCCATATTCTTCAAGAACAAAAGTTTTTGGGGGGGATTCCTGAATAAGAGGGTTTTGTGTCTGCTTGCCCTCAGTATTAATAGAGTATTATTCAAAATATAAGCCAAGTAAAGGTACTTCAAATGATCATGTACTCTACTTTTTGGAATATTTAATTTGTTTAAGGATTTGTTAACTGTATGGCATGAATTTTCGGCACTAGCTTCTTTTAAATAGGTTGTTGTTTACAGAGATTTTGTCATCCAGAGTTGTCAATCATCTTTAAGGATTACATTAAATTCTGCTCTTCTGACACCATTTTTGGCCTGTGTTTTCAAAAATAGCACTTTGTCTATATACTGAACAAATTTTATGAGCAGTCTGATTAAAATTTTTTTCTATTTTAAAATAAAAGAGCTTAATATGATGAAAATGAAAAACTTTTGGGTTCTCCGTTCTGACGATTACACTCAGACAAAAATTATCCTTCAAATTATTCTAGAATTATGCAGAGTGAGCCAAAAAGATTATATTTAAGCATCTGTTTAGATTAAAGTTTTCCCTTATCAGTAGAAACAAAGTAACTAACAGAAGATTGGCTTATTAGTTTAAAAAACCACAGAATGTTCTCATGAACTGTATAATAGCATTCGTTCGCAAAGTACAACTATGTATAGTGCAAGTCGCTTGTATATATTGTGACCCACTAATTGTTTGGGAGGAAAAAAAAAATTTTTTTTGGACTGTAAAATGTTCTAAAGGTCTACTTTTTGGAATATTTAATTTGTTTAAGGATTTTTTAACTGTATGGCATGAATTTTCGGCACCAGCTTCTTTTAAATAGTTTTTGTTTACAGAGATTGTGTCATCCAGAGTTGTCATTCATCTTTAAGGATTACATTAAATTCTGTTCTTCTGAAATTGTACAGGGTTCGTAGTGGTCCTTATTAGTGCTTATAGGTCCTTATATTTGAAAATAAAATATAAAGGCCCTTTATAGTGCGTACTTTGCTTAAGCCTATTTTTTTGCTTTAGTGCTTTTTTTTTTTTTTTTTTAATGTGAACGCGCTTTTTCCCGTACAAACGAACTAAGTAAACAACTTTCTTTCAATAGGAATGTCAGATGGTGAGTCTACTCCGGAAATAGCTTTCCCCTTTCCGCTTAACAAACCTTTGGTGAGCACGAAAGTAAGACAGGTGCCCGTCGTCGATTGGTCAAGAATTGCGAAAGATTAGAAAATTTCCGCTACACAAAACTTCTTTTCCTCCCACCCAAAATCATGGAAGAAGAAGTAATTTTCATTTTTTTGGACAGACATATACAGTACGAGGTTGGGAGTCTCCCCTTTCTCCGCAAAATCTGAATATTGAAACTGTTACAGTTCGCGCAAACAACAACGGACCCCTTTGTTGAGGGAGAACTCACGTCCATCTGGATTGAATAGGACAACAGTTCTGCGTCTACCACCAAAAGCAAAGAATGATTCTATCCGGAATTTACGCTCTCTGTTGAAAATTGAATGAAAAAACCAGTTTTAGTTCTTTATTATCCAATACCAGGCGTTTGATTCGCTTGAGTAATATCACATAGGGAAGAATACGGCGCATGTTTACGCAATAACGTTTGCGATATTTTGCAGAGATATTAATTTTGATCTTCGATCGAGATTTGGTTATGAACACTTAAAAGCGTTACTGTGCTTCTAAGCCAGAAGATTTTTAGTTCCGTTGGTTTATTTTATATGATGCAATATTGAAATGTCAAAACTTTATTTAGCGGAAAAATCTAAAGAGTGGCACAGTCTACCCCCCTCTCGCTCCTCATTTGCTCGCTGTCCCGAATATTCGCCAATTTCAGTATGGGGGTTATTTAAGCTTTTATGTTAAAGATGACTGCATGAAGAAAATTATGTCTTATGATTTCAGAAATGTTCTCTTTTTTACTTAAATTCGGGCGGCAAATCTGTTAAAAAAACTGATAATACAAGGAAATTTCGAAATGTTCAGATTAGATTTAAATTATTACAATCAGATTGTAGAAATAAATTGTTTTATTTTAGGTTCCAGCGAATACATAAATAGCTTTATTATTTATTTTCTCTATTTGAACTGAAATTTCATCTTAACTTGTAATATAGTTTATTTCTCTAGTTTTTTCCCCCCTCTCTTTAAACTATTCTGAAATTGAACTATTATTTAAATAAAAAAAAAGAATATTTCCATGGTCAGGTAATGCTATTTCTCTCTTATAATTATCATTCTCATATTTTAATTACAAGTCTAATTTTTAAGGTTATGCAGTTGTGTGTGATGTAAATAGAAAGGTGCTTATTTTTTTCTTAAAATGTGCTTGAAAAGTGCTTATAGGGGCTTATTTTCTTAACTAAAATGTGGCTATGAACCCTGTTGTATACATTTTTTATAATAAGTTTGTTTATAACAGTTATTTGTTTGTAATGATTGCATGCATTTTCTTCTTGTTAATTTGTTATTCATAATATTCATTTAGAGTTTTAATTTTGCCTCATTTTTCTTGGAGAAAGTATGTAATGGATCATGACAAACTGCTGCTTCATTGAACTGGGTCAAGAAACTAAAATATTTGTGAACTGCTGATATATAATATTTGATATTATTATCTACAGTATCACATAACTGGAGATGGCCTTAAAACAGGCACATGTAAATATGAAGGCACTATTTAATGAATGTATGAAAGAAAAAATATGAGTGATTTTATCCCATTTTTTGAATCAAACTGAATATGCCTTTCTATTAACTCTTTTATAGGTTAGTGCATTGCAAACATGTATTGATGTGCTGCATTCTCCAATTGTGTACTCTGCAGTTGGAGAGCCAGCTTCTAGTGAAACTTCATTAGAATTTGGAGAAAATTTTAATGAGAAAACTAATAAAGAAAAGAAACAAATGTAAGATTTTTTTTTTCACTGTATGTCATATGTGTTCCTCTTATTATTATAAATTTTACTCTTTAGAATAAAACATTAATCAAAGTTTCTGTAAGCTCAGTAGTTTATTTTTCTTTTTGTATGCATTGAATAAAAAATAATATTAAAACACATCTAATTAAAAAATGTAGCAAACATAGCAGGGTCATTATTAAGGAGTACATAAATGGGACGTTAAAACATCTTTTATTAACTACCCTAATATTACAAATGTTTTATAGAAGTTACCAGTTATATCAATAAGATAACTAAGTATTCCTTTTTGATGCAAAGAAAATTATAAAATATAGCATTGCTATATATCAGGGCTGGCCAAACTTCATGTCAATAAAAGCCACATGTTTGAATTCAGGAATGTTCGAGAGCCGCATCTAGATTTTCTAAAAACCACAAGTTCATATTTACATCATTGTAGAAGTAGTGGAGGAGGTCTTAAATAGAAGGAAATCCCTGATAACTTTGTAAAAGGAGTCTAAACTAATTAATTACTTTCTTTTGGACACTGAATAGTTTTAGTTTACCATATGTTTTATATACATGAGCCGCACAAATTGCCCGCGAGAGCCGTATCAGGCTCGCAAGCCACACTTTGGTCCTCCTGCTATATATTATACTGTTTATTTCTATTAATATTAAAAAATAAATGAATCTGTACACTTGAACGTATGTTTCTCGCAGCATGGAAAAATGGCAGAATTTAAAACGATCAGATTTTGAACAGAGTCCTTAACAGGAGCATCTCAAAGGCCTGAATTTTAAATTTTATTTTATTTCTTTATTTTATGTTTTGTGTGAACTTGATAATTGTTACGTCTTCATAACTTAGGACATAATATGGCCTATTCCTCATTCTATAAACTTCCATTTTAGGCAGGTTTTGAAATTAGGCAAAAAGCCATCTTGGAGAGCTCTATGTCTATTTTACTGCCGCCATACTTACCTGGTGGCAGATTTTTAAAATCCTCTATTAAGCCACCACTTGAACCGGGCCTATGGGGTCAATATTTCCCATTCACAAGGCAAAGTGCAGCAGCTATATTAGCCTGAAGGTTTGGCTAGTTGCTTTAGTACCCACCAATACCACACAGGCCACTCTGCACTGGGGATTTACACAGAAAATACAGATCTAATGGACCTGCTGCTACACCACTACTGATACCACAGACTGAGGACTTGAAGCAACAAATGCTTAAAGAAAAGGTATGAATATAGGAGAATTAAAACATGCATATGAGGTAGAGGTTGCATTGCTGAATGCAAATAGGCTACCAAATTAGCATAAAATGCAATCCTGTAGTCACACCACAGTGGCTTAAAAAGGGGCATGCTAGACTTATGCGTCAGTTTGCAAGCAGTGATAGTTCCATGTAATCCAAGACAACCAAAGCAGAAAGCATGAGCCTGAGGCACCATTTGCACGATGAAATGCATTAGAGGGCTGTCAGGATGTTGCAAGCTGGTCCAAGACATCTCACTGTTGCGAGAGAGCTGAATATGCGTCGTAGTATCATCAGTAAGCTGTGGAATCATTACCAAAGGGATCATTACCCGAGGATTACCAAAACTGCAGACGATTGCTTCATGTTGCTATGTGCAAGGCACCTTAGATCGCTAACAGCACGACAGCTGATATATAACTTATAAATGCCATACTAAATGGACTACAAGGCACTATTTTATCCTCCTTAAAATGTTCTTGAAATGATATAATGTTATATGCACAGCCTAACATTAAAAAAAAAAAAAAAAAAAAAAAAAAAATGTATTAAGATGGTTTCTGCATTTATAGCTTAACATTTACATCAAAGGAAAAAAAAAATAGTCCTTTAATTTTATCTTAATAGTATTTAGATTATTTGATTGTTTTTCTTGTAAAATTCTATCAGTATAACATTAAATCGAATAAACTTGCATGTATATGAGAGAGTTCTATATACAACTCCCTCTTCCCCCTTTTTTAATTTATAAGTCTCCCCCTTTTTTTAATTTATAATTTTGCAAAAAATTATGGGCTTTCTCATATGTAAGGGTATCTTACATCTTGCCCAGTTTGGTATATATTTTTGTCCTAAAATTCTTAAAATTAAAGTCTGTAATTTTTAAGTAGAATTTTAAATATGAAGTTTTATATTTCTGCTTATACTGATAAAATTATTCCCATTAAGAAAGTAAATTTTATAATTTAAACTAACTAGCATAAGATATTTCTCCCGCCTTCCTGGCATGCTAGGCGCATATTCCAGAGGTGTGCGGTTCAATTCCTGCCGAAGACGTTATTAATTTTTCATCATGCCTGCTTCCAAAAATACCTAATGTCTCTACAACTGTAATTTAAATAGTCACGTTGTAGCTTATTTTTAATAATTTAGCTTTGTATACTGTATAGAAACACAGCTTCCCAAATAACATTTGAATTGGATAGATGGTATTACAGCTTCTTTACTAATGTCAGTTCACTGTATTTAAATTTAAAAAAAGTTAATTGCTAAAAAATTTTTGTTAAGTGTGTTTTGTCATTTGGTGTAATCTTAATGCTAATTAGATTTAATTATTCTTATCTTTTTAATAAAAAAATTTAAATTTTAAATTTTAATTCATATTAAGCATTTCTAAAGAAATATCTGAAGGACATGGAGATATGAATGAAAATTCTTTACTACTTCTCATGGAATTTTGTGTTGATCAGATGTCATTTGATGTGCAAAGCAGAGGTATGTAAATTGCATTTTATTATTATTATTAAATTTTATTAGAGTTTTATAATAATAATAACAAACTCAGAACAATTAAGTCATTTGTCTTGATAAAATATGATCTATAAAATATTGCTTTAAAATGGTTTAAATATGTTTCAGCAATAATCAAGTTTATAACATGCACATTGCCTTCAAAAATGTTCACATATTAAGCACCAAACCTTTCTTTTTGTCCATTGTGTTTAGCTCGGGGTATCCAATTTTACAATATGTTGCCCATTAGAAATCTGTGTAGAATTTGATGAAAGAATATAATTTTTAAAATTGTATATTTTTAATAAACAGTGATTGACACAGCCGGAATGAAAAGCATAGTATATTACCGATGAACTGACATGGTCTAAATGTAAAGTATAGTGTCAGTTGCCAGTGACTGATGCAGTCCAAATGGAAAGTAAAGTATTGGTCATCAGTAACTGGCGTGGCATTTAATGTCTTAATTGCATAATGTACTGCATACACATAGCTGAAAATTTTTTTAACTTACATGTAATTGCTTTTAACAGATGTGATTTAAAAATGCATTTAAAATGATATGGGCAACTTATTTATGTTATAGAGGTTTTTTGAAGAAGGAGTCGTGAAAAATGTACAATGCCCTCACTGGGACTTGAACCTGGACCTCTCGAAAACGTGCCCAGTGTGCTACTGTTGCACCAGGAAGGCGCTGGAAGGATGCAGAAAATACCATATAATGTTGGAGATCAGTATATTTAGCATACAATGATTAAAGAAAAAAAAGATATTAAACATACAAATCCTTATGAGATAAAAGAAAACTAAGGGGTGGCTAAAAAGTATTTGGACTGAAGTTTCTTTTTTTCCTGCTGTTTGAGCAAATGGAGTACGTGCTTCATACTTATATCAAACTTTGTTTCTCCATCTCTGCAAGTTTAATATTTTAAAATTGTTTAGCAGTAAATGCTGTCAGTTTTGCAGTAAATGTTGCTGGAAGTGGCACATATTTTTGTTCTTATTTTAAAACCATGATAAACATTCATTTACAACAGTGCATGAATGGGAAATTATTAATAAACGTTATTAAATCCACTATAGAAATTTAATTATATACTGAATTTTTGATTGGTTCAAAAGACTTAAATATGGAAGAGAATCAGCACATTGGTCTTCCCTACATATCTAAATGAATACTCGCAATTCATAAGAAGAAAGTGGTATTATGTAAAAAAGTAAGCATTGAGAAAAAGGCTGTACAGCAAATTTTGTATGGTAATTTTGATATGAGAAAATGGTGTCATAAATTCCGACTAAGTGAATACTTGGAACTGTTGAATATATTGAA